AAATTGGAACAGTTATTGAAAACCCAACAACATCAGTGAATTAACCAATTCCAGAATCTGCAAACGATGTGGTAAAATGACTGCCAGATACACTTGCTAATGGTTAGTATTTCAACAAACCTATAACAATGGAGCATTTGGATGTTAACAAAGGTTGTTATTAAAACATAAGAGATAATTATAATCATAGTTGGTTAGTTGTATGTATCGATTGAGCTAGCGATCCTAATCTGAATACTAATCGACACCGTAATAAAACAGTTCATGTTAGCAACAGTCAGTGAACCAATCAAATCATGGATTAAAATGAATAAAATTTATCAGGGGAAATTACAGAAAATGTGACCATTAATAACTGGTTGAGTGATTCCTAGTTAATCTCACCAATGTAGAATTTCACTCTAAAATCGATGTTAAATCCAAAGTGATGTAGTTTGAATTCTGCGAAAACCGTAGCGAAACGTAAGATACTTGTTCTTTCAAAGTTTGGGGAAATTGTTCTCGAATATCGATCATTTGAACACAAATCACTACATCGTGATTTCTATCGGAGATATTATTTCAGGCATCTGAAATTATCCATATTTGTCTGCTTTTAGAGCATTCCAACACAAATACTGCGAAAGTTCGAAGTTAACTGTTACTCGCGGCGCTTACCAACTTAACGAATAACAAACACTGGATGTTGAGAAACGGATAGTTACCAATCACAATGTTTGCTTGACATTGTTTACGAGTATGGGTGTAGAAATCAAAGTCGTTTTTGTTAAAAAAAAGACAGAATTCAACTATAGCGACCAATCAAAGTATAAACGTTTTTCCAACCAATTATGAATCTCTAGTTGGGAAACAGTAATATTGAGTAATTTTATACTAATCTCCAATAGAAGGACTAAAATACTATTGTTCACAATTATACAAGGGTATATAAATACTATAACTACGACTGTAGTTACTGCCGGTCCCAAGCCGGGATAGACGAGGGTTCAGCAGCTCAACCCCGTAGAAAACAGCCTTCATAAAGAGCGCTAACCAGAAAGAAACAATTATTCTGGTCAGCGGACTAAGCTCCTCCGCGAGGGGTAACAGGTGTAAGTATGTTCACTACAAGTCAACATATATAAGCCATGATATTCAGTAAAGAGAAACAATCCAATCTATTCTACGCACGATAGTAAAAAGATGAAAAACTTACAGCTAATTTATATCTGCTACCATATAATGTAAATGAATGACCGGGAAAGATAGTCTAAAAGTTAGTAGTTTAGTTGTTATTGCTTTTTCAGTATCTTAAATATTTACGCTAGTCATTTGTTTCGACAATGGTGTATGAGACAAAAACCAACTTGACAAATGTTTTCTATAGTCAGAAAAACGACATAATGAAATTGGGAACATTTTAACCAATAGTCTGTAAAAGAGTATGATAGGAAGAAGAACCTTGAACTTATAGCCCTACGATTAAAAGTCAAACGCCCAAACGATAATTTAATATATGTAGCTATAATGTTAGAAAAAAACAGCAATATAGTAATTAAAAGGAATAAGGCATTACAATAAACAGAAGTAGAAAATAATATCGATAGCAATGGTAAGATTGGCATCTAAATGCTGTATATCGTAATTATAGCGTTGGTAGAGGGAGAAAACGTTTGATAGTTTAATCTACATCGTTCATTATATACAAAACTGTCTACAAAAAATGAAAAAAGAATCTAAGTATCATAAGAAATAGTGAACTTCTATGTATATGTCGAAGAATTCGGTTTAACAGGTGTTTCACTAGAAAATATCGACATACTTTTTGGATCGATCCAAGAAAACCCTTGACTTACAAATTTTTCCTCATCATCATTGGAATCTTTGAATCTCTATTTTGAGTTTAAAGAAAATAAAGTGACAGCATTTAAGAAACATAAACAACTTATAAAATAAAATACAATGTTTACAAAAAACCCTAGTAGCAAGAAATTATTTTCATGTTATATGACAAGAAGTAGTCTTCAGGAAGCCATGAACTAAACAAAGAAAATAGTGGTGAATATGCACAGTGATGTATTACTATAAAATTTAATTTATTAACTAAGCAGGGAGGACGGACTTCTAAATAGCTGACATTTGTTTATAGTACTAGATAGTATCGGAGGATAGTTGCTAAAAATGCTATAAATATTTGTTGCTTCTTAACAATTTTTTAGAAATCTTTCCTGCATTAACTACATGATTTTTTTTAGTTAGTCTGACTTGCACATTAGTAATCCCATTTTATTAACTAGGCTTTACTCATTTTATTCCTAACAGCGTTCACTCATCGTGTAGTCACTTGTTTCTGGCTCTTTGAACTCATGTTACAATCAGCGTTGTAGAATGTTGTTTTACATATATATTTACAATATTTACTCCACATCTATTTACACACTTCTTATATACTGATGTGTCTTCAAAATAACTTCCAACTAAACTTTCATGTAAGTAACTTAAACCCATTTTGTAATTGTTTTTAAATATCAAAGGTTGTAAGCAGTTGACGAAAACTAAACGAAATAAAATGAATTCCTGCTATTCTGCTAGATCTCTTCAACATTTCGAACAATTTGATCATATACATACCTGGTAAATAAAAGGTCAACTAGACACATTAGGACTCAAGATAATGAGGAAAACTAGGTTATATAATAAATCAATATGACCAAAGTGGTTTCCGGGTGAGAACAAAGTGTTGTTGAATGCAAAAAGAGGGGAGCTGATAAATTTGATACTGATGACTGTTTGCTAAAAAAACTCAATATACTTTAAAATATTTGCTTGACGTGTGAAGAGAAGATGAGCAACAGAAGTTTATCCGAAATTTTATCACTTTCTACGTTGTACATATCTCATTCGAAACATGATAAAAATAGTGTGTTACTAAGCGAACTATCCTTAACTTTAAATGGAATTGTGGAGGGTGCAATCGGAGATTGTTTAGACGTCCTTCCGCATGACAGTAACTAAAAATGTGCACAGGTAAACAGAAATTTTTATACTAAGTCAGTCTGTATTCTAGTTTTCGAAATCATCTACCCATGATTGAAAAATCAGACGCCGGATCTCATCTAGCCTACACAAGATCAATTATTATTGAAACAAAAATAGTGAAATCCATTCCGGCTAGCTGCTCGACTCCCAGAACAATGAAATACCACTTTGGTGGAGACAATACAGAATTCAGAAACCCCACAAATTAACAAGAAATACTCACGTACCCATATCAATCTTCAATCTGTTTTTGTAGGCTAGGAACTGAATGAAAGCATGTGTTCAAAAACCAACAACAGACTACCCCAATAATTGGATCTAAAATTCAAATTTATCATCTGCGGGGAAAAACTGACACCTGCTGCATATGAGTTATTGAAGCGTTATCTACGCCTACTTATGACAGAGATGATTACATCAGTCGATATGTGTACAGTCGTTGAAATAGGCACCTTCAACATATACGGCAACATGACCAACTGTTCCTGGCACTTTTAAACTGAAAACGGATTGCTGTACTGACATCTGATTGTCCATTGGTAACATACTAACACGGCCGTTTGCACAGAAATTGCTAGTCCAAGGTGGTTGCTATCTTATAACAAACTCTTCAGTGCGGCTGTCGCAAACTATTTCCCTATCCATGAAATAAAGCTGAGTAAGCAGAGAATTTCCTGATGGATTCAGAGTACGCAGGACCAGCAGTTTGAGACGACTTAAAATATTAACCATAACATAATTTATGGGAAGACCATCTTGGGTGCAATCAAGTACGCTTGAGCCTCCCCATAGCAGTGTATCCTCCTACGGCTGATGAAATGCCAAGAAACGAAGCCTTTAATCATCACAATTATCTAGTGAACGTGAATTCGAATACAACCCCAGTTCATCAAGAAGAGGATGATGTGCTGTTGATCAACTGTGGAGAGTTTAATAACGGAGGTAATAACATGGACGAAGATGTGGACCCTAACAGACTTTTTAACATGCTCGTCCACCAAGCGAAAATGCAACGGCAGTGACTTGCACCGTTTATCAGTGTAATGCAATCTTTCAATCACTGTAATTAGAAACCACGTCCTCAGTCTCCTGGTTTCAATAGTATGACATATAGTGTAATTACATAAAATTAATGGGACAAATTATTTTGGGAACGTCTTATATGTATTTCATTTTTTGACCGACAATTTAACTTCTACCCATTTTAACCCTATTACGAGGTGAATATGGAAAACAATTCACCGTAAAGTATAGAGTCATTGAAAGATGTTATATCCATAGGACAAGACAGCCGTCTGGTGCTTCCAGGTCTTCAATGGTGGTCTCACATCAATCAGTTTATGACCTGAATCAAAATTTTTCTTTAATTCTTATTAATTTATGGAAGTGTAAACTGTTCAATCATTCATTAATATTAGACTCATTACACGTCTAGCATTAATTGAACGTACTATGTACATTGAGTTATCACGGTTATTTATTTGCATTTGTAAACACCTATTACAATGTTTACCCACCTAAATCCAATACTGAAATGATGCATTAGAATAATTCATCAACCTAGCTGGACGGAGAATAATCATTTTCATGTGGACTTTTATGTTTCATTATTTTTCAGGTTCAATAATCACTAGTGTAATTAGAAATCTATGTTGATTGACAAGAAACTTACCATCGTTGCCACTTTTTTTAGTTTCTTTAGGATGAAATGACTGGATTTTTTAATTTACAAAGAAATTATATGCACGTAATTTTTACTAATTTTTTCTTGTTAGAATAATTAATCAAATCAATTTAAAAAATTAAGTTCAGTTCTGATAAATTTAGTCTTTTTATTGAATTATCCAAACCAAACGCCAAATTTAAGTTACACATCAATCGTGGTTTGCACCAATGTTACATATGATTTCAGCAATTTAGTCCCAAACTTCCTTCCATCGAAATATAATGATGATGGTAATAACGATAATAGTAAAAATCCACTTTAACATTACTTGGTGCCGGATATAAAGCGATTTGCCTGATGAATGTACAGTCACATTAATTCCTTTTCAATGAAATTCAAACCCAGCACTTATTGGTTAAAACTTCAGCCTGTTAATTACTGTGATACATATAAACACAACTGAATACAATTAAACACTGTTTAGCATTCCTATACTGTTCAATATCATAGGGACAGTTGAAGTATTAACAAAAGAAATCCATGTATCTTTCATGTTATCCTCTCTGAGCTACATAGTTTGATTGGGAAGTTTTATTATCGTTTTAGATAATATCAAAGTTCGTATGCCAATAATCACTAGACCATTCTGATATGATGGTCTGTAATTAAGCCTAACAGTCAGGTCTTAAATTATTGGACAGTGAGTGACCTAAAAACTGATTTCCTCCGATAGCTTACGACATTTCATGTTTTTGTGTTAATATTTTGTATGTTATTTTAGAGCGTAAAAAACTACTCTTCTAGCCAGTAGTCTTGTTTATGTTTTCCAATTGACAGCTTCCAACATTTAAGGGAGGAAATATCTAGGAATATTGGTGTAGACTTTAAAAATAACCTTGGAATCAGTAAATGAGTTAGATGAAAAAAATAGCAGCAATGGATATTGTACTTCGCAAACGACCACAGGCGGTCAAATAAGGAAACTTATTGTGAACACATACAGAGAACTAGTTTGCGATATGTAAACATTAGTGTAGCATTACAATAAACATTCCTCTAATCGATTCGAATAAACGGTTCTTAAGTATCGGTGTTTTGTGACTGTTGAAGTTATTTGAACGTACCGTCTTAAGATAAGATTTATAGTCCATTCATTAAGTCCACCTTATATATTTATGTTTGTCAGCCCGATAAACGGGATTACCTAACCACAACTTGTGGATGCTTACTCATAATGGCCAGAAATTTTGTGGATAGTGCTACCATTCACCAAAAGAATCTTCCAGCCATTGATGAAGACTTTTGGTATATATTGGGCTGTTGGACACCAATATGCTGTTCAATGGGTAGAAATTCATATGGTTACACTACTAAGGCTTCTGTCGATGGACTGCAATCAACCGAAAGTGTTCATCACCTTATCACTCACAGCTCACTGACTAGACAAAAGTTTCCTAGATAACTGCAACTTATGCAATAATTCTCTCGAACTATCTAGGCAGTTGCTTTACATATTGGAAAACTTCAACACCTAAACGGTAAGTGTACGGAATACAGTATTCTTTTCTTCAAGTGTTAATTCTAGAAGCTGAAACATCTCACGATAACCTACATGTAATTATAAAAGTGAATAAAAAGAATATTGATTTTTGCTTCGTCCTAACGATGCTGAACTAACAGTTCACCCTAGCCTTGTATCCGATGCATTAATTATCAACTCATCCTTCAAAGTTCCTTGTAAAATTCTAGTAGTTCGTGAGATTTACATCAAACCTTATAATTTACATTATTGATGCGTCAAAGATTTCCGATAATATACTAGCCAAGTCAATGCCAGGATGAACACCGGCTCCGTATGAAACTGACCTGAACTTATAAGCTGAAAAAAATACTACACTTTTCGTAGCACTGACAATGAAGATTTTCCGAATAAATATCTTGACAATTACCTGCAGTAAATCTCGTGCATCACTCAGTATACTGTCATTCATCCATCCAGAAAGACTAATAAAAAATAAAACAATGAAAATTCATGGTTAGTAAACACAAAATCTCATTAGTGAACGAGAAACCAATTTATTGTTTAATGCAAAATTACTGAATGCCTTCGTACATATGAAACCCATACATTAAATACATTATTTGCAAATCTTCCTTCATTTATCTTTTACATCTTTCACGGTTCTTTTAATCCTGTCGTTATTACAACTGCCCTTTGTTTCCCTTTCTGTTCTCTTCAATTCAATCTTCTTAATCTGGTGCTACCAGGCATTCCACTTCCAAATGGTGCTACATACTACTTATACCTGTCAGCATAAGTAGTATGCACCACAATAAGACCAGTAACAAAAGTTAATTCTCAAGAGATTTCTTTTATATAATACAATACACTTTTATGCAACTCGTCGCCCTTCCATTCCCTGAGTACACTGTTAAAACCTTAATATATTTACAATTTTTATTTAATCAAATTAGTTTGATGAACCGTGAACTCCATAGAATAACTTTTTATGAACCTGTTATCAAGCATACAATTATATTATTTAGTAGTAAATCACAAGTTGAGTAATTTAATTCATTCAACTGATTATTTATACATTTTTAAATGACACTATTTTACTTAAAAAGGAAAATTAGGACTTCATGTAGATATAATCTGAAGTGAGTTATACTAATCTCATGAATCCCAAGATTTGACTAAATAATCCATTAATACCGTTGGATACCAACCCATTAATCTAGAGTTCAGGTGTTTGAATGCGAGATTAAAGACCTTGAGTTCGATTCCCGAGCACGAAGTCGTGGATGAGTATGGCCAAAGTCTCATACTAGCATGAAACAGGCGTGCAGTGCTTTCAAGTTTTTAATAGTGATCTAACGTTGATCGCTTTATGATTTCAATGCACAAGAAATAAAAATTTTAAAACAAGCTGTCCAGTATGTTTCGAAGTCACCCAAAAATTGTCTAGAATACTATCATTTTAACAGCTGAATTTAGGAGTTAATCTAAACCAGACCACCAATGGAAACCTGGAGACACTGGACAGCCTTTTCGCCCTACTATGGGACTCCCCAGTAGTGCGCATCCACGACCTCATACACGGAAATCGGACCCAGGGACCTTCAATCCCGCGCGCGAACGCACAGCCTGTAAACCACTGAGCCGGCATCTAACGGCGTTAGTCCAACTTAGCTTCCATTGACCTATGAGTTCAACTGTTAAAGTACTACAATCTCCACAAAACCCCATACTGATAATATCATTATTTTTCAAGCTATCGCTTTTTCACACTGAACTATAAACCCTATTAGATTTTCCACTTCTCACCAAATTGCTCGCAGTGGGCCTCAAGCAGTTGTTCTTTGGGCACCGCGGTCACGTTCTCAGGTCACTAAGACCACCTCCAACCCAATTTCTTTTTCACGTACCTCCGGAAGAACCCTTCCACGGTGTGGGCAACTGCGAAATGACAACCGCCCTTATACCTCTAACAGTACTCAAGATCACTGTATTCGTGATCGATCTCCCTCTTCAATTCCTATTATTCCCCCTACCTCGACTTTTAACTCGAAACTTCCCCTTTTGAATTCCTTCTCAAGTGTCACCATGGCCAACGATTCTAGTGCGCAAAACACTGTCCCAGGTCTACTGAAACCTCGCTCCAAATTTATTTATTTATTTATTTGAACACATAAATATTGGTACAAGGGGTCACCAAATATATATGCGCCACACAAAACAACGAGAATCCGAAGAGAAAAAAGGAAGGTAAGGAGCGTAAAAAAAAGAACGAAAACGATAAGATTAGTATACGGTAGTGTAATAATAACTCCGCCTATAGCTCTTCTAGAGTTACTCCCGGTCCCGAGCTCGGGTAAAGGAGGAGGGTTGGGCACTGGGTTAGCGACCCCATCCCGTAGAAAACTAACTCGCTAAAAAACGCTAACCAGAAAAAACAATTCAGACTATTTGAACTCTGCCCTGGGAGTTAGGTCTTCGTTTAGAGGAACTATGACGCCTCATGGTGAAAGCCGAGTTCCTTTGGAAGCCACGAGGCCGATGCTCCTTCTAACAACCAGAGCAACAATTTTTATAGGTACATGGAACGTCCGAACAATGTGGGAGACCGGGAAGACCAGTCAAATAGCAACGGAAATGAGGAGATACAACTTGACAGTACTGGGAATCAGCGAAACCCATTGGACCCAAGCTGAACAACAAAGGCTAAATACGGGAGAGGTGCTGCTATACTCCGGCCACAGAGAGGAAAATGCTCCACACACTCAGGGATTTGCTCTAATGCTGTCCAAAGTAGCACGAAATGCACTTGTGGGATGGGAATCTCACGGATCCAGAATCATCAAAGCATCATTCAAAACAAAGGAGGGGATTTCAATGAATATTATCCAATGTTATACACCCACCAATGATAGCAACCACAACAATAAAGATTAATTCTACGAGCAGCTGCAATCAATCATAGAGAAGTGTCCAAGAAAAGACCTCACCATTCCGACGGGAGATACAAACGCCAAAGTCGGGATAGAAAACAGCGGATATGAATATATCATGGGACGACATGGACTGGGAGAGAGAAATGAAAATGGGGAAAGATTTGCAAATCTATGTGCATTCAACAAATTGGTCATAGGAGGCACAATATTTCCACACAAACGTATACACAAAGCTACATGGATCTCACCGGACCACACTACAGAGAACCAGATAGATCATATTTGCACCGAAAAAAATTCCGAAGGACAATGGAAGATGTGAGAACCAGGAGAGGAGCTGATATAGCTTCAGATCACCACCTAGTTGTAGCCAATTTAAAACTGAAGCTAAAGAAGAACTGAACAACTGGACAAACAGCACTACAAAGGTTCAATACAGCCTTCCTTCGAGATACTGATAAACTCAATAAAATCAAGATAACTCTCAACAACAGGTTCCAAGCCTTACAGGATCTACTGAAGGAAGAAGAAACCACCATGGAGGACAACCGGAAAGGTATCAAAGAAGCATTAACTTCAACGTGTCGAGGTTCTAGGCCTAAAGAAGCATCATCATAAGGAATGGATCTCTATAGAAACACTGGACAGGATCAAAGAAAAGAAAAACAAGAAGACAGCAATTAACAACAGCCAAACACGAGCAGAGAAAGTCCAAGCACAAGCTGAGTACGTAGAAGCAAACAAGCAAGTGAAGAGCATTAGAGCCGACAAGCAGAAATACGTGGAAGAACTAACAATGACAACAGAAAAAGCTGCAAGAGAAGGAAATACGAAACAGCTTTACGATACAACGAAGAAACTAGCGGGGAAATATAGTAAACCAGAGAGACCGTTCAAAGACAAAGAAGGCAGGCCAATCACTGAAATTCAACAACAGCGGGACAGATGGGTAGAGTACTTGAATACACCGGACATCGAAGCAGCACACACAGATCTTCCTATAGATGTTAATCCACCAACGACGGAAGAAATCAGAATGGCCGTCAGACAAACCAAGAGCGGGAAAGCAGTAGGACCCGACAATATATCAGCTGAAGCACTGAAATTAGACATCGAAGTAACTACAAACACAATTCACCTTCTATTCAAAAAGATTTGGGAGGAGGAACAAGTGCCGATGAACTGGAAAGGAAGACACCTCATCAAGATTCCACAGAAAGATCTGAGCAAATGTGAAAACTACAGAAGCATTACACTACTGTCAATACCAGGGAAAGTCTTTAACAGAGTGTTGCTGAACCGGATGAAAGACGCAGTAGACGCCCAACTTCGAGATCAACAAGCTGGATTCCGTAAGGATCGGTCGTGCACAGACCTAATTGCGACAGTACGGATCATCGTCGAACAATCAGTTGAGTGGAACTCGTCACCGTACATCAACTTCATTGATTATGAAAAGGCATTTGACGGTGTGGATAGGAGAACGTTATGGAAACTTCTTCGACACTATGGAATTCCTGAGAAGATTGTCAACATTATCCGGAACTCATATGACGGACTACAGTGCAAGGTCGTGCATGGAGGACAGCTGACAGATGCATTCCAAGTAAGGACCGGAATCAGACAAGGCTGTCTACTCTCTCCCTTCCTCTTTCTTCTGGTGGTTGACTGGATTATGAAGACCTCGACATCTGAGGGAAAACATGGCATACAATGGACAGCTCAGAATCAATTAGACGATTTGGACTTCTCAGATGACCTGGCCCTCCTATCACGTACACACGAACAAATGCAGATAAAGACAGCCAATGTAGCAGCAGTCTCTGCATCAGTAGGCCTCAACATACACAAGGGGAAAACCAAGGTCCTCAAATTCAGAACGAAGAATAGCAATCCAATCACTCTTGATGGCGAAACTCTGGAAGATGTAGAATCCTTCACATACCTGGGAAGCATCATCGATGAACAAGGAGGTTCAGATGCAGACATAAAGGCGAGAATTGACAAAGCAAGGGCCACATTCCTACAATTGAAGAACACATGGAACTCAAAACAACTTTCAACCAATATCAAAGTGAGAATCTTCAATACTAACGTCAAGACAGTTCTACTGTATGGAGCTGAAACTTGGAGAACTACAACAACCACCATCAAGAAGGTACAAGTATTTATAAATAGCTGTCTACACAAAATACTCAACATTCATTGGCCGGATACCATCAGCAACAGCCTTCTGTGGGAGAGAACAAACCAGCTTCCAGCTGAAGAAATTAGGAAGACTATGGAAATGGATAGGACATACATTACGCAAATCATCAAACTACTTCATGAGGCAAGCCCTAACTTGGAATCCTGAAGTGAAGCGGAAAAGAGGAAGGCCAAAGAACACATTACGTCGGGGAATAGAAGCAGATATATAACAACTGGAAAGAGCTGGAAAGGATTGCTTGGGACAGAGTTGGATGGAAAATGCTGGTGAGCGGCCTATGCTCCTTCACGAGGAGTAACAGGCGTAAGTAAGTGCAATAATAATAATAATTCGGGAAAGCGAGAGGTACAATCAGAAGAAATCTTTTAGTTAAGGAAGATACAACCACTTTCTATGAAGAAAGTAAAAGAAGGTTACAGCAGCATCGCCACTGGCTTCTATTCTGAGCCATATCAGATGTCTTTAGCCACTGTGTTGCACCATCTCTCGGACCCCAACCAGGGAATCGAGAAGGACCAACACAAGACAGTCCTTTGCAGTCTTCTTTCATACCACGACACCATGTCATACACTGACCACCTCTCCGCTTCTTCCAACCAGTCCCAGTGTCGGCAAATAATGCCCGACGTGGAATTCTCTGGGACGACATTCGTAGAACATGTCCAAGCCACCGAAGTCGATGTTTCGAGATGGAGACACCAACTGGATTATCGTCTCTGCGCCCGAACACATGATGCCGAACCTCTGCATTACTAACATGGTGTTGCCACTGGATGTCAGCAATCCTTCGGAGACAACGATGATCGAACACAGAGTCGTCGTCTAACATCCTCAACTCGGAGAGGCCCGTTTTCACAAACATAGAGCAAAACTGCTCTCACAGACGCGTTGCAGATCCGACCTTTTACAGCCAAACTGACATCACGAAGGCGCCAAAGATAGCCCAGATTGGCAGAAGCCGCTCTGGCTTTCACTATTCGTGCATTGATCTCATCACTCACACCCCCACCAGCACTTATGCAGCTACCTAGATACACGAACTTCTCGACTACTTCTATCTGCTCACCATTCAGGGTGAGTACAGGATCAGGGTCCTTCCAGTCTTGTAAAAGTACTTTGCACTTCGAAGGTGCGAAGCACATATCATACCTACGGACACTGATTGCCAACTGATTAAATGCAGATTGCATGGCTTGGGCATTATCGCACAATAAGACGATATCATCCGCATACTCAAGGTCGAGAAGTCTTTCTCCAGGCAACAGATCCACACCGCCATTACTTACATCCATCAGAGCTGTTTCCAGAATGTCATCGATGGCAAGGTTGAAGATGAATGGTGAGATTGGGCAACCCTGTCTAACCCCACTGCTCGAATGGAACAATGGAGAGAGGTGGTTGTATGCCCTCACTCTGCCTGAGGTGTTTGTATATAGGGCCTATAAAATGTTAGTAAACTTCTCAGGCACACCCTTCTTCAATAGACAATCACAGAGAACAGTCCTATCCAACGAATCGAAGGCAGCCCTGATGTCAAGAAACACTACGATTGTTGGCCTTTGATAAGTATGGCGGTGTTCCAACATTTGGCGGAGGGTGAAGATATGATCAATACATCCTCGACCAGAACGAAACCCAGCCTGCTCCTCGCGAGTCAATCTTTCTCGGGTTTTGAACAACCTACGAAGAATGACGGAAGCCAATAGCTTGGACGCAATCAGAAGTAGACTTATTCCCCGATAGTTGTTACAGGAACGATGTGAACCCTTTTTAAAGATAGGGACAACTGTCGACTCAGTCCATGACGTTGGTACACTTTCTAGTTCCCAAACCTTTGTAAACAACACAGTCAGTTCCTAAGCCAGAAAGTCACCACCATCTTTAAAAAGAGTCGGAGGTAAGTCATCTGGGCCCGTTGATTTGTAGTGTTTCAGGAGCTGGAGTTCCTTGCGGACTTCCGCCTCATTTGGCGAATCAGTCGTCACCGGTCATGGAGGGTCTGTGCACAGTTGCAGTAGACGGTCCCCGTTATCTGTCCTGCGACCAACAAGTCCCCATCGGCCACCTAAACGACTCTATTCTGTGCCTAGACGCCCGACCTGAGCATTCAAGTCTCCGGCTAGTACTACAATATCTGTCGAATGCACTTTCTGGAGAAGAACAGTTAGCTGGTGGTAGAATTCATCCTTGATTGCATCCGGGCTGCAATCTGTCTGGGCATAGGCGGAGATGACGAAAAGATATCGTTTCTCACACCGATTTCTCCTCACTTTGATGGAACTTTCTAATCTAACAGCACATAACCGACTGTTAATGGGGATCCAATCGACTAGTGCTGCCTCAGCTCTGGCGCTTAGTGCGACACCAACGCCAGCAAGACCAGATGAAGATGCCACAGGGTCCCCGGATAAGCGCACGTGAAACAAGTCTTTTGAAGCGACAGATGGAGAGCGAATTTGTAGTACTTCACCAGAGTCTTGAATACGGGTCACGGAAAGACAACAAACGTCGATATTAAAACTTTCCAAAGACATAGCTAGCCCTATCTGTTGTCCGACCTGCATAAGTGTGCGAACGTTGAAGGCAGCCAGTTTGAATGGTGCACGTGGTTTCAGAAAAACTGCTTCAGTATTCGTATTCGGTGGTAGCATAAAATTTTCAACCAGGCAGTAGCTCGAGAACGTTTAGATAGAACCGAGTTACCACCATAGGCAAGCTGCTGTATAAGTCGAAAAATAAGGATACACAAAGTGCGAATAAAAGACGTAAATAATAATATTAATAATGTGAGTCGTTTGATTGTTAATCGAAGCAAGACAAGTATTTTCCATAAATACCGACATTTCATCATATTTGTGTGTGGGCTGTGATACTGCCCAAGTGCCCAGACCGAAACAAGGGGTTTTCTTAGGGGGCCACACCCCGAGCCTTTGACCTAATGGTCTAACCCACAAGGCAGTGGAGCATCGTGAGGAGATGCAGACCCATGGTAGCCGGTGACCAACAATTGGCTCATACGCCATTTGTTCCCGCAGGATACTGGAGCCCATATGCACCATTGATTTGGGATCCGGTTAAAGCGCCGGACATTCACTTTTCGTCCTCTCATTTTCGTAAACAACACCCCCGCCACGAGAAGGCAGTGAGTAGGACTTCCCTGGCAGAGGCTGTATACGCGTGGCCGTGTGAGAGTATTTCGAGAGGGAGGGCGAACCCACCCCGCTCTCGGCCATACCAGGGCATTTGGGGGCAGGGTATTAGGGAATGATGGTAAGTCAGTTGATGAGATTGTGAGTCTTCATCGACTGAGATGGTTAGGCCACGTGTTGCGTGTGTCTGAACACCGATTACCACGACGCGCAATGCTGACGAGTGTTGGAAACGGTTAGAAGAAAGTTGGGGGCAGCCAAACCAAAACGTGGCATGGGAGCTTGAAGTCACTAACTTCTAGTCTGAGCCATGTTGATAGATGCAAACTACTTGGTTGGGGTTCACGTGACTATCGCAGCCAATAGTTAGAGACTATAGGTGACGTGTCTCAGGATCGATCACATTGGCATCGGTGTATACACTCTTTGTTCTCCCTTAAATCATGAGATTAAAATTGCTTTATATCTTTCTTTCTACGAAAGAATTCTTCCTTTATGTACTATATCCTTGTACACAATCTTTCTTTCATATATTACTACCATTGAAGTAACTACTTCTATGAATTCGGTGTTAATCTTGTTGTGCTAATGAGGTGTGACAGCTTGGACTGATGCATATATGTGCCTGGTCCTACGTTGTAACTGACTGGTTGACTGTCAACTATATCTAACCATGCTACTTCAGTGTTATGAAGTGACTATAGAACTTGGCAGTTCGAATTCTAATTTGACTTTCTAATTGCATGTTTATTATGCTAAGTTTATCGTGCTTTATTCAGATATGGGCTTTTTGTATGACTGTTTGAATGTAACAAAAGAAAGCAAATTAGAAAATCTAATAAAATCATGCTTGCACTCCCCGTCACTTGCCTGCCTCAAAGTTTTAGCGACGACCAGTTTTTATACACAGAGTGGATGAAGTGAGATTGAAAGTATTCGATGATCAAAGTTGTCAAAATACTTCTTGTATACTATGAAACCATACATTAATTGGCGTAGTTAAGGTAAATAGTTTGACATAAATAAAATAATTTAGTCGACAAGAACTGGAAGAACAACAACATCCCAAAGATAATTGAGATCGAAACTTAGAGATACTATGTGAAAATTGAAAGCCAATCTAAGAAAAGTAACTCTAAGTGTTCTTAAACTTTCTCTAATTTCAAAATCTCTTACTGTTCTGAGTAAAGTTACAACCAGATACTATTTATGTAACAACAACGACGCAATAATGCTTGTCAGTAAAAGTATATCCAATTAAAACAATGCACAAAATTATATGAGATCCCGTATAACGACTTACTTTAATGAAGGGATATCCTGTGATGGCTGTGTCCATACAGAGAGTTTAGTGACACATCCTTTAGCCCGAGTATCAAATTCTTCCGGATGGTGAATCAGTGCGTTAGCTGCTTCTGGATTAGCATACTTCACATCTCTCATGTTTTTGATACAAGCAGTTTGTTCTGCAAGTGATGAAACAATAATACTTGTAGGACTAGTCAACAACCGTTTAAAATGATGAAGAATATGCCAAATATGGTGCTTGTCTGGATTCCATATCGGGAATTCCGTGTGCACGCTCACCTCTCCGGTAATCCAGTCTACATGAGGATGATAAAATTCTTTACATAAATAGAGCTTCTAAAATGAAAAGAACGAGATACATAAGAACAAATGTACACTCCCAATCTATAAAAGCATTACAAAAGCTTTTGACCAAGGTATATGTGAAGAACTAACATCTGTACATCACTAGGTGTCTTAGTTTAAGAAAAAAATCTTTTTATAGCACTAAAAAAAACATATTTAGATACTCTAAAGATAGTCCTACATTGGCGACAAAAACAACTTGCAGTCCGATATTGCTTTCTGATACAAACGATTTTAAAACATAACCACCAATTTATTAACTTTTCATACAATTATGAACTCCTTTACCGAGTGACAGCTTATAGTTCCGGCCTTAAATCATTGTTTTCCAAAGGCTAGGGATACTATAAAATTGACCGTAACTGACGAAAGGAACCAACTCATTTGACCCAGTTAATGGCCTGAACCAAAGATAGAACTAAGTGGAATTATGGAGCTGATTAGTTTACCCAACCCTACACGAAAGCCACACAATTCAGTGCCCGCGTGGCCTGATTCCCCTAACCTAGTTACGAAGCTATCCTCGTAGGGAACAAATAAGGTCTTATTAATCAGATTTATATTTAGTTGGTGTCAGCACGACTAATGTCTAATGTTCAGTGCAAACTAAAATCTGATATATCAACTGGCTTATATTCAATCATTAAACGCTAGTGAACAAATCAAAAGAATACTATACGTTTTAAATGTAAATTCTACTTTATTTACTGTAAATTGTTGTTCCTGTCTATTTAGGATATCTTGTAACCAGTTCAGTCTTGTCTTGATTTATGTCAACACAAGTGAGATACGATCAGGACAGTAGTGAAAAAAGACATAAAAGTTGGGTTTAAAAGGAAATAACATAAACGGATTATGATCAGGTTGACGGATATCCCAGTTATCAGATTAGATTATTTGATAATACATTCTGACCATTGTAAAGGGAAACAATAGAATGTTTGATGACTAGTCTTCCGTAGTGAGAACACATTCAGAACTACCGGATAGGCTGACTTGGGCTCAGTGCTAATACGCTGACCCTATAGCATAAAACATCTGCATAGACCAAAGCAAGTGAAGTAGGGTTGAGTATTTTAACCACTTAACAATCATTGAATATTTGACCTTAGATGAAAACCTTAGTGAAAAGATGTTGGGGAGTTACAATCTAAAATTAAAACTTACGAGAATCAAATAAATATAAATTAGGCTGAGATTCTATTGCAGTTTGTTATTCAGTATGACCACTATATATAAAATCTCAATATATTTTAAGATATTTTGTTTCAATGACAATCAGTCATTTCAAACATGCTAGTTATTTTTTATTGATGTATCACCGACAAACCGTGTATTTTGATTAATTACACTGGGTCAAGATCAGAAACTTTTATCTGCAAAACTGGTGCTCATAGTCGAGTTAGCGAGGTGGCGAAAAAATAGAATAGTTTCGTCCACGATATTGAGGTTGGAGTTGCGAATTATTGGTACAGTTAACGAACGTATCATGATGGGCAGAGTATGAAGGACACATCAAATACCGATTTGCCCCAGCAACATCAATCAGACTATTTTGCACTACCTAACCAGCGACGACTGATCACAGAAACACGGCAGAGGACCGCAAAAACTCCAACCTTTAAAGCACCACAAGCCGCCAGGTTCTTTTTAAAGGATGGCAGCATACCTCTTTCAAGGTCATTTGGAAGGGCTCGGGGAGTAGTGTTGCAACACCCAAAAATAAAGTGACCGTTGTCCCCATCTTTAAAAAGGGTTTATATAATCTATCCAATAACTATAGGGGGGTAAGTATACTTCCGACCGCATTCAAACTCATCAGTACGTTGCAGACCCTACCTCTAACAGCCAGACTAAGACCAAGACGGCGCTAAAGATGGCCCAGATTTACATTAGTCTCTCTCCCTCAGCCTTTGATGTAAGCAGATTGATACCATCAGTTACGCCACCACCAGCATCCATACGACTACCTAAATGTACAAGCTTTTTGGATAATTCTGACGACAACACGACAATTAAACGTAGGAACAAGCTCCCGTGGGCCTCCCAGAAGTGCCTAACGTTAAAAAGGTCCAAGGTACATGCAACACCTTTCGAAATTGATTGCCAACTGAATAAACACGAATTGCATGGCATGAGTAACATCACATAGTAAGACAAAATTATTCACATACTCAAGATTGAAAATACTGTCTCCAGGTAAAAAAAAATCCAAAACGCCATCACCTACTTCAAAACAAAAAATAACCTGCTTTCAGGTAACTAAAACCCTATGTATGACAAACAAAAAGTGAATGACTAGTAGCCGACCGCCAACTGCAACGGAGTTAAACACTTAGTCAAATGTAAACTCACACCTTCAAAACAATAACTCGGATCAACGAGGAACTAATAAAGTCAAAATTTTATGTTGAAGACCATGTCAGTATTTTAACCAATGGGCTAAACATGAATCTTTCACAGACCGTAAATTTACGCGACATCTGACTAAACATTGAGCAGAGTATTTATTAGTTCTCAGTTATGAGGATTAAAGATTGGAATATACCTCGAGCAAGTACATAAACTTCCAATTTTTAGGAAAATTTGACCCATTTTGAGGAAGCCGCTATAGGAAATTTTGGGGGAATGGCACCAAAACCCCAAAAAGCTTGGGCAGGCTGAAATTGATTTATACGGTAGACCGTATAGGAAAACTTTGCGATGACGTTAAGATAACAGAAACATGGGATTTGTTTATTAGAAGTGAGTAGACGGTTAGTAAACTGGGCAGACAAACATATATTCATATTTCTAAATACCGACCCTGAAACCTTTACCCACCGGCAGTTTTGTTGATGGAAAATCATCTGGCAGAGATAAGACGAAATCGAAAACTCCTCCAAAATAGTAACCACTTCGAACAGAAATAATCCCGAGCCATTCTAAAATTCAGTTATGTAATTACAGCACAAACTAAGTGGATCATTTTCACATGGGCTAACAATAACTCCAGAGATGTTTTTCAGTTTTAGGAGGGTTCTTCATAGGAAAACAGGTTAGGAAAATAGATAATACACTAACAGCTCAGCTAAAATGTGATAACCTTGGTTGAGCATATTTTGTAGCGTTATTTTCAAGCTATGTTACAATCCCTGGAAAAGTCCAATTTAAGTTTTAAAATGGGTACACTTTCCACCTTTATTACTATTTCACGCAACTACTTTTGGCCTGAGTTAGGAAAAATTTGTTGAAAGAGCTCGTCAACGCAAATAATATGACTTGTTTGTGTTCTGCGTTCTTATCGTTGCTCAATACCTTATATCTTTGTCACAAGCTTTCATAAACCGATTTTTATGTTTGCGCTCGCATCTTGTTGTTTTGGCATTGTTGAGGGCAGCCAGTAATGTTCAATTTACTGCAGACTAGCCAATGGAATGCACTAATTCTAATCAGTGTAATAGCTTGTAGTCGAGCGAGGTTGCCTCAGGTTAATAAGGTTATCTTATCACCGAGCAGGAAGTTGCTATATTGTAACGTGCTAAAAACAGATTGATAATATGAGCGTTTGGAGAAGGAAATTGTTTCGAAAGTCAATAAATAATTCACTTAACTGGTAATGTATAGGAAGACTAATTAAATATATTAGGAGGATAAACGTAGATGCCAATTTGAGAGATAAGAAGTGGGTGTTGGCAAAATACTTATTCTAATTATCTTTATCTAAATCGGTTATTAACCGATCATTATCACGTCACATCATTCGAAGCGCGTGAAAGTGCACAACCCAACATATTAGTTTGTGCTTCAAATCAAACTATCAGAGTATTTACATCTCAGTTTTGCTTTCAGGCTTTCAAGTGAGATTTCAGTGGACAGCTGTATGTCAAACCTTTTGAAAAACTGAAATTTCACAGTTTACATTTGCTTCATAAGGGTAATCGAAAATGATTGTCTGAAGAAACGAACAAATAAGTTTATTAGTAATCCAAACATAATGGGCGGACCGAAATATAAGAATATTATTATTATTATTATTATTATTATTATTATTATTAATAAAAGGGGAAAGTGAGATGAAAATAAGAGAGATAGAAAGTAGGCGCTCATAAGTGGTAATGACAACTGGCAATTCGGGAGACACGCATCAGACACAGCTGATTAGGGAGGGAGTTGTAATCCACGGGCGGGCGCGTGTTTGCTGAAACTCCTCCTGAATCAATCCACTGAAGAGGCTGTGGCCAGTTCGTCCGAAAGAACATTACAAATGGTAGCGACTGTTAACGAGCCAAGTGTGAGTGAACCTGGGATTTTGCTCTTTGAGGCGTAAGTTTTCGCTGGCTGCCTCGTGGAGCGTGACGGTGAAGTCCTGATAATATGCTCCTGTTCGAGTGACTCAGCATACTTAAATGTTATATTCTATTATCAAGTAATCTCTTACTCTCTTGTAGCTCAGCCTGTCCTCGTGAGATTTTGTTTTAGCCCTATAACCTCCTTGCTTCCCCGTCTCTGTAGATGGTCTAAGAGACTCATGATTTTTCTAACTTGAAGCAGTGCAATGACATTATGGACTTCGAGGTGGGGCCGTACGTATGTTTTGATAGTGAAGCAGAATGTTCATGACATCACATTTTAAAAAGTTAGGTTTTAACTCACTGTCTACTGCCCATTTTTCTATTTTTGCAAATCGTCTTTGGAGCTTAGGTTAATCTTGGACCAATGATTGGGCGCACATAACCTGTCTTTCTTGGACCCCTGTTGGAGCTTTTATCCGTATGTTCCCTTATTTGTTCATTAAACAGTTCTCCCATTACCTTCGATTGTATTGGGTTTAATGAAACTTGTTTGTAAAGGGCTGTATCTTTCCTACTCGTCTTTTTGGAGATTTGGTAGAGTGGCCTGTTTCTCTTTTCTTGGCACTTGACTTCAATGTTATCGGTTTCACACCAGACATGTCTGTGTCACGGAGACTACTTCCTACTGGTGAAGAGATATGAACATCCTCAATTAGAAGCTGACCATTTGTTAGTAAGTACTTTTCATTTGAAGGTTCTTTGTCCCTAGTGGTACCACACACATGTTCAGCCACTCCTAAAGTTCCGACGGCTGCTTATGGGACCACTCTGTAGGAATAATATCCTGCTTGTCGAGATGCAGGGATATAGTGTTGAGGACCCCAGCTGGTAATTTATGGCCTAACCACAGACATGTCTGTATAATCTCATCATTTCGAGTGTTAGGACTGTGGTTTAGGCTACTTATGCTGACGAATATATGTGGTAAGTTGTACCAATCGGGAGACGAATCCCTTGTAGCAGAATAATAAATCGAAGAAAACAGAAAGAAAATCGCAGAGGGTTGAAAACAAAGACGAAATTAGAAGGACAATGGATAGGGTAAAGGTCAGCGAAAAGATGTATTTGGTGTATGATTTTTATATTTTACTAAGTCACTGTGTACTTTTGCATTGAACAATAGATTGGTTATCCCCACCCGGGTTTCGTTCACTTCAGAACTTGTGGTTGCCGGCATAATCCTCAATTACTTTGTGCCGTTTTCAATCAGGCAACACTATTATGATTCTCAAAGCTCAGCTAATACGGTACTTTGTAGTGTTACCGTCTTTTAGTGATCATTAATTCATATCAATACGAACGTCTAGGCAGTTCTACTGTACGCGGCTGAAACATGGAGAACAACAACCACCATCAAGAAGGTACAAGTATTTATAAATAGCTGTCTACACAAAATACTCAACATTCATTGGCCGGATACCATCAGCAACAGCCTTCTGTGGGAGAGAACAAACCAGCTTCCAGCTGAAGAAATTAGGAAGACTATGGAAATGGATAGGACATACATTACGCAAATCATCAAACTACTTCATGAGGCAAGCCCTAACTTGGAATCCTGAAGTGAAGCGGAAAAGAGGAAGGCCAAAGAACACATTACGTCGGGGAATAGAAGCAGATGTATAACAACTGGAAAGAGCTGGAAAGGATTGCTTGGGACAGAGTTGGATGGAAAATGCTGGTGAGCGGCCTATGCTCCTTCACGAGGAGTAACAGGCGTAAGTAAGTAATGTATATCACCATTCCCCCTCCTTTTTTATGTACTCCATAGTATCTGAAAAGTGGCATTCCTTGCAAGCTCACTTCTTTATCCGTGACGTCGGGAGGCAGCCATGTTTCAGTTAGGACTATGACCTTTAGATCCACCTGAAAGCACATATTTATAGTTCCTTCTAGTTTACCGCTTAACTCCCTTACGTTGTAACAGAAGCACACGATGGTTTGTTCCACCACCTGGTGCTCCTCTACAACAGCATCCACCTTATGGATGTCAAACAGATTGTTGTGAGAAGTGTGTTGGCAAACCATTAGTTCCCTTTTTTGGTAATGATCATCATAAGAAACGGATTATTACCATATCTAGCAAGTGATAAAAGTTTTCTCTTTACTACCTTAGGCTTGTGAGGGGCTAGCTGGATTGCTTCTGAGAATACAGGTAGCCTTTTAGCCATGATTTATAACATTGGTGTTCAGATGCGACGGTCTTACCGATTATTTTTGACCTCGTGATATTTTCCGAATACAGTATGAAAATATGGCACAACTGCATGTTTGACTCTGCATGGATGTAAGCTTCAGTCACTCGATCTTCAGGGGAACTTTGGAAACAACTTTTTCTTTATGTCACTGTTTTGCGACTTCAATTTCCTGATTCTCCTCTTTGAAGGAAGTAGATTTCAGCCAAATTCAAAGTGCAGTTCAGTATACCAGGTGACGACAAAGTGAGCAACACTTTAAGCTGGATTTCAATTTCATTAAGCGTTAAAGGTTGCCTAATTGTTAGTCTTGGATATCTTCATGTGAAGAAATTTTCTCCTTGTTTCAATATGTCTCTGCACGACCAATCCATCAATTGAGTATGCCGCGTTTTTAAAGTTAAGAACAGCTAACTAGGACGCTTTTGCAGAAGGGTATTCTGGCGGAGAAAACAAAGTTCTGTTGGGAAGAACAGTAAAAATTTCTTATGGATATCACCCTCCAGTCCGTTGATAGGTACAAACTCTAGTTGCCGACCACTAACAAACCCATTGGATCGTCCGCCTAACAGAAAAAACGCCCATGAGTAATACGCACAGCTTTCAAAGGATAGTGTCCCTCGAAATCTACGACTTACTAAACTAGCTCTGAGGCCTTACGCGATAAATACTCAGAAAATCACACGTGACAGAACAACTTATCAATCTCGTCTAGTAGGACATACGAAAAGCAACTATAAGCTATTAAGTAGTTTACTGAATATAACGTTTTTAACCTTATCAAGTGTTGTATTAAGGTATCTTGACAGAACACAATACCAATAATGGGTTTTCTAGGCTACTAGCTAGAAAGTTTCGACCTATTTAGCGCCACACCATAATATCCTTCCTCCAGAACATTGCCACTTCATCCATTTTCATTGACACGTTTAAGTCCTTCAAAACCGAAGAAACTTTGTCTTGCTTGAACTCAAACAAATCTGGCTGTTTACGTAGTGTCCAACCCATATTCCTGGTGAAACACGCGTGCCCACTGTGCCTTTCGCTCACTTCTATCTTTATATGCCACTTACTCAAGGAAAATTTGCTCTCTGACTACAAAAATAATCCATATGTACCCCTACACAAAGTGGGGTGACAAGGTGTAAAGTTCATACTAATATACGATATCTTTGCCATTAACGGCAGCGAACTCCATTTCGTCCTGAATAAATCTTTCCTGAAGCGTCTTATCAAAAACTTATTGTCGTTTGAAAATAAGTAGCAACTATAATGATAACCTTGTGCTTTGCAATCTATAACATGACTGACTCTCAGGTGGATCATATGACACGAAACTATTGACTGATTGGAATAACTAGACTTTCTCAGTGAGACTTAATCTTCCTATCTTTATCGGTCCCCATGATTTATCCCTAAGTACCAGTAAATGAAAAATGCTAGTGATGGGCATTTGTAACACTGCCCACCTCGCACTTTAGAGTGAGTCAGATGCTGTACTTTCTGCCACTGTAAGTAACCTGGGCTCAACTCTTTGTGATTCACCCTGTACCACTTTCGACTGACATTCTGAAGTCATCGAAGCTTATTGGCTGGTTTCCTTCCTTTTAAAATATTAGGTA